GCTGCCCCAGTGGCGCAGTGGTTAAGTTCGGCTCGCTCCATTGCAGCAGTCCGGGGGTTTGCGTGTTTGGATCCCAGGCGTGGACCTACGCCACTCATCAAGCCATGCTGTGGCGGCGTCCCACATGCAAAACAGAGGAAGATTGGCAACAGGTGTTAGCTCAGGGCCAATCTTCCTCACCAAAAATAAAAGGACAAGGGACAATTGTTTCTTACAGAAGAATTCTAATTTAAAAACGTAGAAGAAATGAGGGAAATAGAAAATCACCATTCCGGAAAAGATCCACCAATGGATGCTAAAATTAGTGGGTGAAAGCTTGAGGAAAAGCAGTAGGTAAGCGTAGTCTCAAAGTATCTCACCCAAGATACTGGGTAACTTTAGCGTAGTAAAATCCAGCAGACATCCCTTTAGTCAAGTGATCAAAGTTACCATCACCAGTCATGAGACATCTGGACATCAGGTGCCCCTGAAACTATGCACCGAGAAAGGTACATCACTTATGTGGGATTCCTCCCCCAAATATATAACCTCAATCTAATCACATTAAAATCAGACAAAATGAGGGACATTCTACAAAATCACTGGCCAGTACTCTTCAAAAGTGTCAAGGTCATGAAAGACAAGGAAAGATTAAGGACCCATCACAGACTGGAGGAGACGAAGGAGACATGACAACTCAGCCCAATGTGGGATCCTGGGACAGAAAAAGGACACTAGGGAAGAAATGAGTGGAATTCAAATACTGTCTATAGGGCCGGCCCTGTGGCTTGGTGGTTAAGTGCGCGCGCTGCAATGCTGGTGGCCCGGGTTCGGATCCCGGGTGCGCATCGAGGCACCACTTCTCCGTCCATCCTGAGGCCGAGTCCCACATACAGCAACTAGAAGGATGTGCAGCTATGACATACAAGTATCTACTGGGGCTTTGGGGGGAAAAAAAAAAAAAAAAAATACTGTCTATAATTTGGTTAATATACCAATGCTAATTTCCTGATTTTTATAATGGTATTATGGTTATGTAAGATGTTGACATTTAAGGAAACAGGTTAAAAACTAGATGTGAAACTCTTCTGTTTTTGCAAATTTTCTGTATGTTTAAAATTATTTCAAAATAAAAAGTTAAAAAATTCTTAATGGACATAAGTTTCTGGGGAAAAAACTCTACAATATATATCATTTTTTATGAATTAACTCCAAATGCTCTTCTAATATTTTGCTAAAATACACGTTTCTCAAGGTGTAGTTGTAACTGGTGTTTACATACTGGTGTTCTCCTTTTTTTCCCTTGAAATAAATTTCACTCATTCATTGAATAATTTGATTAAATAGTGGTCTTTTGTCACTATGAGTGGCCCTGTGCTAGGCACTGAGAACATGAAGATGAATAGCACTTGGTCTCTGCTCTTGAAAAGTTTACAGAATAGTGGGGATAATAAAAACGAAAAGAAGAGAAATAATATGATAAGCTTCATTACAGGTAGATAAGCAAAGGGCTGAGATATAGAGAAGCTACCGTCTTCCCCTTTTTTAAAAGAATCCAGAGTCTAACATGTTGACATAATCTGCATAATTATGTGTAAAGAACATATAATTGTCCACAATGTAATATACTGAGGTTGGCAGGGCTGTTCTCTATGGGAACAGAGTGTTGGGTATCTGGGGCTCTTCTGACTCTTGAGGGAAGAGAACATTTCCACCAGTTGTCCTTGGGGTCAGCAGGCAGAGCAGGTAGAAAGACTCTCATCTGGAAAGGGAGAGTGCTCCCCACCTCCCCGCTCCACGTTTGCAGACTGTGCCTTTGCTGCTGAGAGCCCATCAGTTGCAATTTAAATCAATTCCCCTAAAAAGGAGACTTATGGGATGGCCAGAGCTCAGCTTAATAAAGGAAGTCAATAGGATTCTCATCAAAGAGCTCAACTAATTTGTCTCATTTCTGAGTTACAGCGTCCCCTGAGCCTCCTCTTGGAGGTACCAACTATCATGCTAATTTTTATAATTGCAGGTAATTAAATAATTGGCACAATTCATTTCCCTGGCAAGAATTTCCCGTCAATTCTGCCCCAGGAGCCTATAAGGACCGGAGGCCCTACTGAGGATTGCTGCTCTCGGTCTCCCATCTCACACATCCCCTGGCGATTCTCTTTGCTCCTGTATCTTCAACTTCCTCCTGTTTTCTGGCTCCTTCCCTCGTACGGGAAACATCCTCAGTACGGGAAACATCCTCAGCCTCTCTGCCCTGCTTCCAGGCACCCATCTGAGTTTGACCAGGCTCTCCTTGAACAAAAGGCAGACGGCTAGGAGCAGTAAGGAAGCATTTGCTCTGCCCAAATAAATAAATAAACGCAGCAAATAAACGAATAAATAAAGACAATTCTTCCTTGACAGTTTAACCACCTAAGCCGCTCTCCTATCTATCTCTTTCCCATTCTCATAGTCTTTGGTGCCTCAAAGTCACTGAGTCAAACACGGAGCCCATTGTTAATCTCCACACTAGCAAACAAACAACCTCCCCAAACCAATTTCCCTCTATTTCATGATCTTGGTTGGTGGCTTCTCCATTGCCCAAGTCACCCAAGCCAGATCCTGTATACGATCCTAGACATTTACCTTTCTCTTTCTCGTCACATCTAAGCGCTCATCAATTTCCATCAATTTTACGCCCTTTGATATTTTTCAAATCCATTCTTTCCACTCCACCCACCGCCATCCCCACTGCCACTGCCTGAACTCAGGCCTTCTCAGTCTTGCCTGGACTCTTCAAATAGCCTCTCCTCTGCCCTCCCTGCCTCCCCTCTCATCCTACCTTCCATATGTCCACATGGCTGTCCAGGTGTGGATCTACCCACGGATTGAAACATTTCAGTATTTCCCTTTGTGTGGCTTACACGGCTTCTCTTTTTTTTTTTTTCTTTTTTTTTGTGAGGAAGATTGTCCCTGAGCTAACATCTGCCAATCCTCCTCTTTTTTGCTGAGGAAGACTGGCCCTGGGCTAACATCCATGCCCATCTTCCTCCACTTTATATGGGATGCCGCCACAGCATGGCTTGCCAAGCGGTGTGTCGGTGCGTGCCCAGGATCTGAACCGGGGAACCCCGGGCCGCTGCAGCGGAGCGCGTGCACTTAACCGCTTGTGCCACGGGGCTGGCCCCTGCACCGCTTCTCTTGAGCTGGCCCTCACCAACCTCAACTTCTCATTTTCTACCTCCATAAGAAATGATATTTATCAAAAGCTTCCCTCATGCTAGAAGGTATGGTACTAAGTGTTTTATGTGAGTTATTTCATTTAATGTTCACAAAAATCCTTTGGAGGAGGAATTATTTTTTTATCCTCCTCTTTACAGATAATAAAAGTGAGGCAAAGAGAGGTTAAGAATTTTGCTTGGAGGCCAGCCCAATGGCATAGTGGTTTAAGTTCAGCATGCTCTGCTTTGGCCACTTGGGTTCAGTTCCTGGGCGCAGACCTACACCGCTCATCAGCCATTCTGTGGTGGCGACCCACATATAAAATAGAGGAAGACTGGCCACAGACACTAGCTCAGGGTGAATCTTCCTCAAACAAAAAGGGGAAAATTGGTGACAGATGTTAGCTCAGGGTGAATCTTCCTCAGCAAGAAAATTAATAAATAAAATAAAAATAAGTGAATTAAAAAAAAGAATTTTGCTCAACTTTGCACAGATCGTAAGTGGCAGAGCTGGGACTAGAATCCAAGTGTTCTGCCACAGAGTCTGCTCTTGGCCACAAGCCGTGCTGCCCCTTCTCTATCCCAGCCCCCACCGTGGACATGTACATACCAGCAGACCTGGATGACCAGTATTTGCACACACACAAAATATTGTCTCATGACTTGGCATGTGTTGTTTCCTCTCTTGGAATACATTTCTTCCCCTTATTTGCCTGAACTCCTATTTAGCCTTCAAAACCCTACTTTATTATCACTTCGTTTATGAAGATCTGCTGTCCTCCCTCTCTATAGACCATTGTCCATTTTGTTATTACTTGGTTTCCTATATAGATATATATCATGCAACGCTGAAAATGTTTACTTTTCTGTCTCATTATTTGGTTAGGTCATGTTAACAGTCTTATTTATTATTATTCCTCAGCAAGTGGCAAAGAGTCTGATACACAAAAGGTACTAATTTTTTTAAGTTTTTTAACTGAAAGGACCAGTTTGCATGCAGGTTTTAGTATCTTTGTTTCCTTGGCCTTCTTCTAGGAATTAATGTGGAAATAACACATATTTGACAATTTAAAAATCAGTTAGACACCATAGCCAAAAGGTGGAAACAACCCACATGTCCATCAACAGATGAATGGATAAACAAAATGTGATGTATACAGTACATACAGTGGAATATTATTTAGCCTTAAAAAAGAAATAAAATTCTGATACATACTACAACATGGACCAACCTTGAAAACATTATGCTAAGTGAAATAAGTGAAAAGGACAAACATTGTGTGATTCCACTTATATAAAATACCCAAAATAGGCAAATTCATAGAGACAGAAAGTAGAATCATGGCTACCAGGGGTGGGGGTGGGGAGGGAAATGAGGAGTTATTGTTTAATGGGTACAGAATCTATGTTTGGGATGATGGAAAAGTTCTAGAGAAGGATAATGGTGCTGGTTGCACCACGACGTGAACATACTTAATGCCAGTGAACTGTACACTTAAAAATGGTTAACAGTAAATTTTCTGCTATGTATATTTTACCACAATAAAAACAACAACAAAACAAACAAACAAAAACTATCCAGGTCATCAAAAACAAGGAAAACTGCCACAGCCAAGAAGAGTCTAAGGACACGTGAGGACTAAATGTAATATGATATCCTGGATGAGATCTTGGAACAGAAAAAAGACATTAGGTAAAAACTAAGAAAATATGAATAAAATATGGACTTTAATAATAATATATTAATATTGATTCATTCATTGTAACACATGTACTGCACTAATGCAAGTATAATGTTACTAATTAACTAATGTTAATAGTAGGGAAAACTGGGTGTGGAGTATATGGGAACCCTGTACTATCTTTACAATTTTTCTGTAAATCTAAAATTGTTCTAAAATTAAGACTATTAAAATTAAAAAATCTATTAGATCGCACCTTTACCCAAGTGTAATTAATCAAATATGTATTTTGAAACTCAAATTAGTTTTATACATTGTGATCAAGAAGAAATTTTAGAACATACCTACTCTGAAACCTTCAGGCACTGGTGGCAAATATTTCACGTTAAGGACGTAATTTATGTGGAAAACATGGAACAGTGATTTCAAGTGGTGTTGGTGCTAAAAGTTTTACCTCTTTTTAATTAAAACAATCACACCAAGGTCAGAAGGCCCGAAATATAATATACTCAAGGGCTTCTTCATACCATAAATAAACCAGCTTTGGTCCTCTCTTATTTCAAAGAACACTTTAATAATTAGAAACAAGAAGGGACCAGTTACGCAAAACATGACTTGCAATAATCTCAAATATTTTCGGAGATGTGCATATGCCAAGATCCATTTCCTCCTATCTTTCTACCTCCTAACTCAGCCCAGTAAGTGTGTTCTAAGAAAACAAGGCTGGGTAATGGGATTTGGTAGAGTGAGCATTAAGTGGGGGGAAAATCAACAAAAGGAAGGGTCATTCCCTTCTGCAATCACAACTCAGTGATCACAAATGAGCTTCCTAGGGAATGTGTCCCCCCACCCAGAGGCCCTGGAACACTGCCTCAGATCACAGGTCTGCTCCAGCAGTCGCTTCCAGAGCCAGTCAGGAACCAGAGCCAGGGATGACCCAAGCACGGCTATGCAAGGCCTCCCAGTGAGAGCCTTCCAAGAGACGGCCAGCTGGTCTTTCTGAGGTTTAATCCAGAATGCGGGACTGGATGGGGATTGAGGGGGCTCTCTGTGGAATGGAAGCACACCAAGTGAACTCCCCAGAGCCGTGCCCCTCTGTCTTCTCTGTTTGCTGTAAACAGGGCAGCAGCAGAACAGCAAAAATGTTGCTTCTGATCAGAGGGCAGACTCCTGCCATAGACAAGTGGAGTTTAAGCTCGTCAGTTAACTTGAATTGCCACTTTGTTTCTAATCTGGTTGGTTGTGGGAATAAATTTCTACCTGTTTTCTTATTGTTATCACCCAGTGCTTATTTTCATTTCACAGCAGCCTCTGAGAAGAGAGAGAAAGGGAGGGAAGGAGAGGGAGGGAAGAGAGAGGGGAGAGAGCGAGAAAGAGAGAGAAATTGGGCTGAATCATTAGGTAGAGCACCAATCCATTGAACAGATATTTACAGAACACTGTTATATGACAGGCTACCCAAAGATGATGAGGACATGGCGCCTACCTTTAAGGAGCTTCCAGTCTAGTGGGGGATTCAGACACCCAATAGTTGTACAAATTATAACAAGAGCATAGGGATGGTAGAGAAAGGAAGGATTCAACCTACCAGGCAGAGCTGGGAAATGCTTCCCAGAAGAGGTGACTTTTATGCTGGGCCAGGAAGGAGGACTGGAACTATACCTGTAGGAAGAAATGACTTTTAGGGAGAAGTAACAGCACGTGTGAAGACTTGGAAGTATGAAGGCCCTTGGTTGACCCCGGGAGTGGAGAGCAGTTCTCTCTGGCTGGAGCACAGTGTATGTGGCCTTCATGGTGGGGAGGATGGGTTTGGGCTCATGAGCACAGGGACTTGGAGGCCATGCAGAGAAACTGGATTCTACCCTTACTGTCTCTCTCACGGGTTGTTTTTCCATCATCTCCATGCCTGCTGCCATCATCACAGTCCGGCTCCTGCCTGGGTTACTGCAGAAGCCTGCTAATGGCTCTCTCCCATCCACTCTTGCTCCCTCCACTCTATTCTCCACACTGCAGCCTGAGGGATCATAGCATGACCATTCTTAAATCTCTTTGTCTGAATTCTAGAACAGGCGAAACTAATCTATAGTAAAAGAGAAAGCCAAGCAGTGGTTGCCAGGGGTGGGGGATTGACTGCAAAGGAGCATGAGGGAAGTTTTGAGTGATGGAAATGTGCTGTACCTTGATTGCGGTGGTGGCTACTCATTGAACTGCACACTTAACATGGGGCATTTTATTGTTTTTAAATTATACCTCAATAAAGGTGATTTATTAAAAAAAACCTTTCATTTGCCTTGGGAGGAAAACCAGTACCCTTGACGTGGCTCAACAGACCTTGCACGACTTGCTGCTTTCTCTTGCCTCACTGTGGACCCTCCACACCACTTTGCTCTGGCCTTGCCAGGCGTCTTTCGGGTACAGGATTTGACGTGCCCTCTCCTCATTGGCAACTGTGCCCACGTGGTTCTTTCTGACCAGAATGCTCGTCCCCTCCCTACTGCCCGCTTTGCCCAGCTGACTCCTGTTTATCCTTCAGGTTGCAGTTTAAATCTTAGATCCTTCAAGGGCCTTTCCTGGCCCCTCAGGCTCCCGGTGCCCCCTGCCCTCATTGAACACATCTGTGAGTATTTGACATCTGTCATCCCCCCCCAGACAGTGTGCTTCATGAGGATGGGGGCCATGTCTGGCTTATTCACTGCTAACTCCCCACCACCTAGCCCAGTGCCTGGCATGTGAGGGGATTAACAAATATTTGTTGAATGGAGTTTTACCAGGTTTAAGAGAGATGCTCATACATATATTTTTTAACAGAGGTTCTCAGCTACAATGTTTGAACATGTCTAGGGCATTTCTATTTCTCACAATGACTGAGGGGTGTTCTTGCTACTGGTCCAAGGCCAGGCCTGCCAGACGTCCCTCAATCATCAGGAAAGCTCCCTTGAGTAACACTGCGTAGAAAGATCACTCTACCTGTGCCAGGAAACATCTGTAAAGTGTGAAGGAAGAGGAAACAGAGGTTGACATTAGGGTGACTTGCAGGAAGACTATTGCAATCATCCAAATTTGGGGCTGTCCACGTGGCTGGGGAGGAAGCATAAGCTAAATTAGAAGGTAATTAGGAAATAGAACCGACAAACTTGGTGATCAGTGGGATGAGAGAGTCACTCTTCGAGGAAAGACAACGGATGTAAGCATGAAGGTAGGTAGACAGAGAGATACAAGTTGTGTGACCTTGGGCAAGTTACTTAACCTCTCTGTGTCTAATTTCCTCATCTGTAAAGTGGGGATGAAAATAATACCCACATCACAGGGCTGTTGTGAGGATTACATGAACTGAGTTAATTTAGGTAAAGCACTTGGAGCACTGCCTGACATAGGGTAAGCACTAGATAAGTATTTGATATTATAGCTACAGAAATATGAATAAACAGATATGTGGAAATATTGACAGATGAGTGGTGGGAGGGATGGATGAATGAATGGATGGATGGACGGATGAATGGATGGATAGATGGATGGATAGATGGACAGGTAAATCGATGGTGAAGAGATAGACAAATGAATATTGGATGTGGAAGATAGAGGAGAGAGCATGATCCCTGGAAGTTTTGCCAAGAGCAGTCACAGATTTGAGCAAATATACCTATACTCTCTCCCTTCTTCTTCCTTTATGTCCAGTGATCAAGGTACCAAGTGTCTTTGGTTTATGGAACAGAGCCATGACAAATGACCCACATGGGCCCACTGGAAGCATGCAGTAGGCAAAGATCTGATGTGACTGGAATGTGCCACAGGCATCTCCTGAAGATGGGCTATGAGGTACACAGAGCATCGAAGTTGAAAAGAGCTCTTGTAACTGTGGCTTGGGGTACTCACAGGGATACTCACAGGAGCTCCCACACCCTTCCTAACTCTCTCACTTTGCCTGCTCTCTAGACATTTTGTCACACACCCACTTTCTCCATTCTGTTGTTTGTAACATTTGCCATCAGAGGATACATCTAGGAGTCCATGTATATTACCTGGAACGACACTGGCCTGGGAGTCAGAAGACCTGTGCTCTGTATGGACAATGAAGCTAGTTGCTGGTCTTGGCCTAGTCATTTTTTCTCTCTGGTTTCAGGTGTTGGTTGTGTAAAATAATTGGACTACACTAGATCATTCCTGAAGTTTCTTACAGCTCTAACACACATGCACCCACAGCCTGACCAGCCTCTTCCCACATTGTTCTTCCCCCTCAACTCAACTCTCCAACCCTACTCTCTCGTCTTCTCTCTCTTTGCCGTTTCCTTGGTGTGGAATGCCCTCCCCTCCTTGTCCTTCTACCCTCCTCTACACAGTCTTCAAGTCTCAGTGCTACCTTCCTTGTGAATCATTCCTTGACACCCTCAAGTATAGGTGTCCTTCTACTCCTCTATGCACCCACTGTACCCTGTGTGTACCTGAAATACAGCACTATCCTCAGGGACTTGTTTACGTGCCTAGCTCCCCGAAAGGCTGTAATGCCTTTAGTGCAGGAATTACATTTGTGTCAGTCAGGGGGTAGTTTCAGAGAACAGAATGCACTCTAACTAGTTTAAGCAGGAAAGAATTTATTACAGTTATTATATGACTTATAGAGTCATTGGGAGGGGAAAAGAAAGACTCAAGACTAAGCTTTCAGGAACCACTCACCAAGCCACTCTGCAGAACTGGGCCACCGAGGGAGCTGCTTCCTGATACTTCTTTTGGTATCAGGAAGACTCCAGCTTCACCAGAGCACCACCATTAGAACAATCAGGAACTAAATTGTCTCCACATATATCTCATAGTCCAATTCTCAAAAAGAGCAAGAATCTGTTGAGCCATCATCATCCCTGCTAGGACACTGTTTCTTGCACCAGGCCACCTCCTAAACTTCTGACCAAATTAGAGATTGATTGCACTGGGATCAGGGGCTAAGTGTGGTCAAAAGAGCTGTGGCCAATGGGAGCCAAGTTCATCTGGCACAAACATGGGGAAGGGGGCAGCTGGGGATGAGGGCGTGACAATAAGTTTCCTCTTTCCTTGTGCTGAGGAGAGCAGTTTTCCCCCTACCAATAGGGTTCTTTAGCAGTGATCGATGACAAGTCAATCGCCTGGCTGGATATCAATTAAATTTAAATCTGCTCTTAGCCCTGACATTCCCTTCAGTTCATGCCTCCCACAGAATACAAACTGCTTTAACAAAATAGGGCAGGATCATAGAATCTTGGGAATCGGAAGTTCAGGGGTCATAAAATCCAGTGGTTACCAAATACCTCTTTGTAGCAAAAGGAGAAAAATAGGACCATGTAATTAATCTTATTTTATCGAAGCGTATTCACTTTAAAGACTTGGCCTTTTTCTAAGATTTTCTTTGTCCTCTTTTTTCTCTAGTGATATACAGTATTTGTAGTTCTTAGCTTTTTTTGGTTTAGGCTTTTCTTGGCAAAACAACAACTAGGCTGTCCTTTGTGAGTTCTCCCTTTCAGTTGCCTCTTGATTTTTAGTCTATCCTGATGAAGGGGAGGAAGACTATTCTCTACCCATTCTGGGTCGTTTCTGGCTGGGCTACAAATTTAATTGACCTGAGACTGAATGGCAGGAGAAAATCAAACAAAGCTTTATAACATGTATACATGGGAAAAACCAGGGAAACTGAGTTTCTTGACAAATGGCAGAGGTTTTCACCCTAAATAGCATATTCAGGTAGACAAAGGCGGATGTTGGGGTTGGGGGAGTCAGCTATGGGAGATTACCAGAGAGCACAGTAATCAAGAGTATGCAAATTTTAGTCCTTGCCTTCCGCACTGACAAGAGTTTCTAGAGATAAGGTCATCACCCCTTCTTCACGTTACAGAGAGGGAGATACCTTTACAAATGGAGATTTCCCTTAAACAGAACTTTGATCAAAATGGGCTTAGCAAGGCCCCTCCCAGTCTATTGCTTTTAGGCAGTTTGGGGGAAGGTCAAATGTCCTTCAGAGAAAAATATCAGGGTAAAGAGACATATTTTGAGGTGGCCAATTCTGACCCCCCACACTGATCATGTCCCCAAAGGTCTATACCACAGCTTCACCATGATCCCTTGTGTTCCTGTTTCTTCATTTGTTTCATCCTTTATTCCCCATCATCTCACAGGGTATGGACTCTAGGGTCTCAAGACACTGAACAAGACATGTGGTAAGACTTCAAGAGAAAGCGTATACTTTCTTTGATTCTTTGTCACTGCCCCATCCCATGTCATATCACAGAATTATTTTGACACTCTACTCTTGTAAATAAGGCCCAGCTCATTTGTGAGAAAATAAGCTGTAATGTGTAGTTTGTCTTAGTGTCACGGACTACTTGTCCCAAGGAACTCAAGGGTGGGTTTGGAAGCATTTAACTGTTTTTCCAAATTGTTTTTTTCCCTTTTGTAATGTTAAGGAGATGCAACCACCAACCACCCTGAACCAGACCAAGCCTCCCCACAAGAGCTACACCCACCATCTTTGCCTTACCTTTAATGCTAAGATCTCTCCAGGAGGAGCTTGGGCCTTATTACCATAACCTGCAGTGCATGTGGAAGCATGTTTTCCAGCTGAGCCTGCGCAAGCAAATACCCACCTCTTCCTTTTGACTATTCATTCCCCATCCTAAATAACAGGTCCTTGCTTCTCTTTGTTTGGAGTCGCCATGACTTTGGAAATGATTCCACATGGCCTCCTATTTGCTGCAAACATACTTTACTCTGTGAGACTGCTTCCACTGTTGTAAAGTCTTATTTAACTTGCCAGGAGGCGAACTCACTTGGTTTGGTGATATTGGCATGTTCTCTCTACTTCAACTAGGGTTATTTCCTTCTTTCTCTTATCATTTACAAATATGCAGTCTATTTTTATTTATCTTAATGCTACTTTTTATTCCACTTATATTTCTGTTACACTTTCCAGGACTTCTTTTCCTGGAATGCTTCTGCTTATTTCATTTCTTGTCTCGAGTTTGGATTTAGTCCAAACTTACTCTTTATAGTTAGGTACAAGCATCTATGACTTCGTCTACCCATTTGCAAGCATTTACTTATTGACATACATATTATTTCACTCTAGATTGCTCTCCTGGGCCTGAGAGCCCTGAGATCCATTTCTTGCCCTCCCTGAGTTCTCTATGTCATGGTGGTGGGCGGACCCCTGCAGGCTGAGCCTCTCAGGCTCCTGTGTCAGCCCATTTCCAGCTGGGTTTGCCTAATGGGAGGTGCAAAGGGGAGACTGGAGACAGAAACAGGGGAGAAGCTCATGCTCCAGCGGCAGTGTCTCTCCTCAGTGGTCCCACTGCTGCCCAACAGGTCCATCAAGGTCTCGTCTGTCAGGTGACCCTAGCTAGACCCTGGTCTGATAACACCACCTCTCACCTAGGTCCCCTCAGCCTAGGAAGCTGAAGAGACCTCTAGATGGTGCTCAGCTCTGGGGCATCTTTGCTGTAAATACTCGGAGGGGTTTCTCTTTTCCAAGTTAGACTCCAGCTGACATAAGGATAAATCTCAGAAGTAGAATTGCTGGGTCAAAAACTAGGATTTTTAAACTGAGGTTTGAAGACATTTCTTCCTGCTTTCTCTCCCGTAAGCCCTTTCCTCCACCTGTAGTTTTCGGTATGCAGTCTGGGCCCTTCTCCTGCTGCCATTCCATTTGTTTACACATCTCTGGGCATTGGACTATCCCTCTGGTCACACTACATTTTCAAATAATGATAAACAAAATGAAAAAGTTAAGGAGGAAGGCAACCACTTCCTGGTGGTAACTGATATCTGTGCTTTCAGAACATGCCTAGGAAAGTGGAAAGAATAAGCAAGAACCTGGGTAGTTCAGGCAAACATTGACTCACCTCATCTATCAAGAGTAAGTGGTAAAGGGAGGGGAAATTGGAACTAAGTATTAACGTCCTCAAAATTGCCAGAATTAGGTAGAGAGTTACTGAACTCACCACTTCATTTCCTATCAGGAGTCTAGTGAAGGAATGACATCTCCTCGGCCATTTCAACTGCCAGGTCTTTAATTTTAGTAGGAATGAGTCAAGGAGCAAAGTGACCTTTGTTGTTTGTGGAACTGAACCACTTGTTGACTTTGACTCCACGCTGCTCTGCTTTAAGAGGGCTCTAGGCGCTGTCTCCCCAGGCAGTGGAGACAGCTTGCTGTAAATTCAAGTTCCTGCATCTTTTCATTGCATCAGACTCGGCTCTCATTGGAAACGAGGCTCTCATCCAAACTCGGGTAAATGTCTGACTTCATGTTGTGATTTACCAAATAAAAGCTATCGACTGTCTTTTACAGGCTGCTGATTAATCTTCAGCTTTCTCTGCATTTGTGGCCCTTAAAGACTCTGCTTATTCAGCAATATAACATAGTCATAAAAAATAATTTTTATAGCAAGCCATTCTTTGAATGTAAAGATAGGGGGGCAGTTGCATTGGGGAGAGCATGGATGAGGAGTTGCTTCTTATGGATGAGCAAAGAAAGTGGTTTCTTGAGATGGAATCTACTCCTGAGTGGGGAGACCCCCCATGTAGGAGTTAAGAGATCTGAGTTTGAGTTCAGACATTGTCACCACCTAGCCGAAAACCAAAATCAGCCATTTAATCATGGTGAATTTCTTATCTATTAAAATTAAGTGCTGTGAAAGTGAAAAAGATGATAAGATGAAAGAGTAATATACAGGTGCAAGCTAATATTATTACAAGCACACCTCAGAGATATTGCGAGTTCGTGTCCAGACCACCACAGTAAAGTGAATATCACAATGAAGCAACTCACATAAATCTTTTGGTTTCCCAGTGCACATAAAAGTTATGTTTACAGTATACTGCAGTTTATTAAGTATGAAATAGCATTATGTCTAAAAAAACAATGTATGTACTTTAATGAAAAAATATTTTATTGCCAAAAAATGCTACCCATCATCTGAGTCTTCAGCAAGTCATAATCCTTCTGCGGGTGGAGGGTCTCGCCTCGATGTTGATGGCTGCTGACTGATCAGGGTGGTGGTTGCTGCAGGTTGGGGTGGCCATGACAATTTCTTAAAGTAAGACAACAATGAAGTTTGCCACATCAATTGACTCTTCCTGTCATGAACAATTTCTCTGTAGCATGCAGTGCTGTTTGATAGCATTTTACCCACAGTAGGACTTCTTTCAAAATTGAAGTCAATCCTCTCAAAGCCTACTGCTGCCTGATCAACTAAGTTTATATAACATTCTAAATCCTTTATTGTCATTTCAACAATTTTCACAGCATCTTCACCAGGAGTAGATTCCATCTCAAGAAACCACTATCTTTGCTCATCCATAAGAAGCAACTCCTCATCCATTAACGTTTTATCACGAGATTGCAGCAATTCAGTCACATCTTCAGGCTCCACTTCTAATTCCAGTTCTCTTGCTATTTCCACCACATCTACAATTGCTTCCTCCACGGAAGTCTTGAACCCCTCAAAGTCATCCATGAGGGTTGGAATCAACTCTTTCTTACTGTTAATATTTTGACCTCTTCTCATGAATCACAGATGTTCTTAATGGCATCTAGAATGGTGAATCCTTTCCAGAGTGTTTTCAGTTTACTTTGCCTAG